TATATATATATATATATATATACCACTCAAATTTTTGATATTACATTAAAAATATCATTATTACAAAAAAATTAAACGTGAAATATACTTATTCATGCCTAAATTTTAATATCAAAATGTTATAAATGTTGGTATCAAATTTTAGACGTTAAAAGCGTAAATTCATAAGAGTTTGTGATACGTATTTAAATTTTCCAAAATAATATCAATATCCATAACTAAGAAAATATTGATATAATACAATAATCATAGATTGTGGAGAATTACCTCAATGATGAAATTAAGAAATCTTCAGCCATGAAGGTCAGCCTCCTAAAGATGTTGAATTCTCAAGTGAATTGGAGAAGTTAAAGTCATCATAGTTTATCAAACTCATGTGCTAATATTTTCTTATAAGGGTAAAAATATTATGTAGGATTGTCTGCATGAACATGTTCATGCGAACAATCAATCAAGGAGTACAATCAAAGTGTATTACATATGTTCATCTCTTATTGGGTGTCTGCACATTCGGACATCATACGTAATATTTTCTTATAAGGAAAAAAAATATTATGCACGGTTGTCCACATGTGCGGACAACTAGTCAGAGAGGAGTACACTGAGAGTATATTACATTTGCTCCTTTCTGATTAGGTGTCCGCACATACGTAATATTTTCTCATGAGAAAAAAAAAATGTACGATTGTCCACACATGCAGACAGACAATCAGGAAGAAGAGCACTCAGAGTACACTAAGAGTGTATTATTTTCTCTTCCATAGGTGATATGGGTAGTCATATTTTCTAATTTTAGCAATAATCTGCTATGTGTAAGCTTGGCTGATTGATTGGAAGCTTAGGTTTGTATATGCATTTGTATAAGAGTTTATGATTAACTTTGCGTAAATTCTCAATAAATAAGTAAATAAAACAAGAGATAGAAGGTTGAATATATTAATTTTTAAGCTTACGGAATTTAATTAAATCTCTCATTGAAATAAACAAAAATCTCATTAACTAAAGCATTTGTATTTATTTACGCCATAGGAGCTGTGTTAAATAGCGTCCAAAATTTGCATTGAATTGACACGTATATTTGAGTCAAATTTTGCTACCGCTATGCAAGAACACTTAGTTTATTTTGTGAAAAATAGAGTTTTATATTTACATACATAACATTAAAATATTTACATTGCATCAAAAATAACATGATTATTACATTTTAAAAGTTAAGTACATCTTTCCATGCATAAATTTAAAGTATCAAAATGTGTTAGGTATGGCTCATATACAAGGAATTCAGAGTTTCTGGAAATTGGAAAGGTGTATTTTTTGTAATGAAGAGCTGTTTCTCTTGGATTAATGAGTTGGGGGAGCGAGAGCGTGTTTGTAATTATCTATGTGTTTTATTTAAAAATAGATGTGTAACCCTATGAGTATGTAACTCCTCTGAAATAGTGAATTCGCCGCTCTGCTCCCAAGGATGTAGGCATCTTTGTCGAACCTCATTAAATCTCTGTGTTCTTCTTTTGATTTTGTGTCGACTCTCATTATTCTTCGTCGTAAATTTCATAACAATTGATATCAGAGCAAGGTTCTAGGGCGGAGGAGATCGACGTAGGAAGAATGAGGAAGAAGAAGGTTTTGGTTCAACGGTTTGCGGCAGTTTCTTAGAGGAGTTCAGTTTT